ATAACCATCCATCCATCCATCCATCTATTTTCATTTGCTTATACGGAGTTGGGTCGCGGGGGCAGTAGCATAAGGCGAGAGGCCCAGACTTCCCTCTCCCCAGCCACTTGGGCCAGCTCCTCCGGGGGAATCCCAAGGTGTTCCCTGACCAGGTGAGAAACATAGTCCCTGCACCGTGTCCTGGGTCTACCTTTAGGTCTCCTCCCGGTTGGACGTGCCCAGAAAACCTCACCAGGGAGGCATCCAGGTGGTATCCTGACCAGATGCCCGAGCCACCTCAACTGGCTCCTCTCGATGTGGAGGAGCAGCGGGTCTACTCCGAGCCCCTCTTGAATGACCGAGCTTCTCACCCTATCTCAAAGAGAGAGCCCAGCCACTCTTTGGAGAAAACTCATTTCGGCCGCTTGTATCCGCGATCTCGTTCTTTCGGTCACTACCCAAAGCTCATGACCATAGGTGAGGGTAGGAACGTAGATCGACCAGTAAATCGAGAGCTTTGCCTTCTGACTCAGCTCTCTTTTCACCACGACAGACCGGTACAATGCTCGCATCACTGCAGATGCAGCACCAATCCGCCTATCGATCTCACGCTACAGCTTTCCCTCACTCGTGAACAAGACCCTGAGATACTTAAACTCCTCCACTTGGGGCAGGACCTCATCCCTGACCCGGAGAAGGCATTCTACCCTTTTCCGAATCAAGACCATGGTCTCAGATTTAGAGGAGCTGATTCTCATCCCAGCTGCTTCACACTCGGCTGCGAACCGCTCCAGCGAAAGCTGAAGATCATTTTCTGATGAAGCCAACAGGACCACATCATCTGCAAAAAGCAGAGACCTGATCCTCAGGCCACCAAAACGGATGCCCTCCACACCTTGGCTGCCCCTAGAAATCCTGTCCATAAAGGTTATGAACAGAATCGGTGACAAAGGGCAGCCTTGGCGGAGTCCAACTCTCACTGGGAACGAGCCGACTTACTGCAGGCAATGCGGACCAAGCTCTGACACCGGTCATACAAGGACCTAACAGCCAGTATCAGAGGGCCTGGTGCCCCATACTCCCGGTGTGCCCCCCACAGGGCCCCCCGAGGGACGTGGCCAAAAGCCTTCTCCAAATCCACAAAACACATGTAGACTGGTTGGACAAATTTCCACGCACCCTCCAGGATCCCCCTAAGGGCATAGAGCTGGTCCAGTGTTCCACGGCCAGGACGAAAACCTGGGATTTTGAGAGGTTGAGGACCAAGGAACTGTAAGACAGAGAGGACATTATCTCTGTCTGGCCCCAAAACAATTTCTAATCGGAATCTGGTGCCCTTGAGCCTGCAAGGCTACAACGAACCCCCCCCCTCAGAAGATATGTGGAATGTGCCGTCGCTATGGCAACTCAACTCTGTCTCCTATCCCAGCCTGGGCGGGACTGCGGGAAGGCTGCTGAAATGTTCCAGGGTCACTGCAACCCTCCAACGCTCAATGCTCCTTCCCCTATCTACACTGAGGTGGCATGTGCTGCTTATCTTGGCTGCAGGAACTGAAGTGGGGATAGTCCCAACCCACTACCCCACCTTGTGGACACTTATGTTGTGTTGTCTGAAGTCTGTTGCATATCTGTCTGAGGTTTTTTTTTTTTTTTTGCAGAGCAAAGCTCCCCTCCCAGTGGAGAGTAACCCTGAAGTGCATTTTTTCCCTCCACCTGAACCAATCCTCATCTAACCCTCTTATCTCTATTAAAATAGCACAACTCAGGGTTGTGAATAACCACAGTCAGAAGAACCTGTCAAGACGGTCTTCAACTCCCACCTCCGGCAGAGCTTTGACCACGCCCCGAGAGCAGTGGGGGACATTGAGTCCGAGTGGGCCTTGTTCCACTCTGCGATTGTCGAGGCGGCTGTTGCTAGCTGTGGTCGTAAGGTGGCCGGTGCCAGTCGTGGTGGCAACCCCCGTACCCGCTGGTGGACACCAGAGGTTCGGGGAGCCGTCAGGCTGAAGAAGGAGGCCTACAGGGCGTGGCTGGTCTGTGGGTCTCCGGAGGCAGCAGACAGGTACCGGATAGCCAAGCGGGGTGCAGCAGTGGCAGTTGCCGAGGCAAAATCTCGGGCGTGGGAGGAGTTTGGTGAGGCCATGGAGAAAGACTATCGATCGGCTCCAAAGAGGTTCTGGCAAACTGTCCGGCGCCTCAGGAGAGGAAGGCAGCAACTCGCTCACACTGTTTACAGTGGGGATGGGGAGCTGCTGACGTCAACTGAGGCTATAGTCGAACGGTGGAAGGAATACTTTGAGGAGCTCCTCAATCCCACCAATGTGCATTCCGAGGAGGAACCAGAGCTGGGAGGCCTGGGGATGGACTGTCCGATCTCGGGGGCAGAAGTTGCTGAGGTAGTCAAACAACTACACAGCGGCGGAGCCCCGGGGGCGGATGAGGTTCGTCCTGGGTATCTCAAGGCTATGGATGTTGTAGGGCTGTCATGGTTGACACGTCTCTACAACATTGCGTGGTCATCGGGGGCAGTTCCTAGGGAGTGGCAGACCGGGGTGGTGGTCCCCATCTTTAAGAAGGGTGACCTGAGGGTGTGTTCCAACTATAGGGGGATCGCACTCCTCAGCCTCCCTGGAAAGGTCTACTCCAAGGTACTGGAGAGGAGGGTCCGATCGATAGTTGAATCTCAGATAGAGGAGGAGCAATGTGGTTTTCGTCCTGGCCGTGGAACTGTGGACCAGCTCTATACCCTTGCAAGGGTGATGGAGGGGGCATGGGAGTTTGCCCAACCAATCCACATGTGCTTTGTGGATTTGGAGAAGGCTTATGACCGTGTCCCCAGGGGCACCCTGTGGGGGACGCTCCAGGAGTATGGGGTGGGTGGCTGTCTGTTAAGGGCCATTCAGTCCCTTTACCAGAGGAGCGTGAGTTTGGTCCGCATAGCCGGTAGTAAGTCGGACCTGTTCCCAGTGAGGGTTGGACTCCGCCAGGGCTGCCCTTTGTCACCGGTTCTGTTCATCACTTTTATGGACAGAATTTCTAGATGCAGCCGTGGTGTGGAGTGTGTCGAGTTTGGTGGCAGGAGAATCTCGTCTCTGCTTTTTGCGGATGATGTGGTCCTCCTAGCTTCATCCAGCTCTGACCTTCAGCTCTTGCTGGGTAGGTTCGCGGCCGAATGTGAAGCGGCTGGGATGAGGATCAGCACCTCCAAATCTGAGACCATGGTTCTCGACCGGAAAAGGGTGGCTTGCCACCTCCGGGTCGGGGGAGAGGTCCTACCTCAAGTGGAGGAGTTTAAGTATCTCGGGGTCTTGTTCACGAGTGAGGGTAGGAGGGATCGGGAGATCGACAGGCGGATTGGTTCGGCGTCTGCAGTGATGCGGACGCTGAGCCGATCTGTCGTGGGGAAGAGGGAGCTGAGCCAGAAAGCCAGGCTCTCGATTTACCGGTCGATCTACATCCCAATCCTCACCTATGGTCATGAGCTTTGGGTAATGACCGAAAGAACGAGATCGCGGATACAAGCGGCCGAAATGAGTTTCCTCCATAGGGTGGCCGGGCTCAGCCTTAGAGATAGGGTGAGGAGCTCGGACATTCGGGAGGGACTCGGAGTAGAACCGCTGCTCCTCCGGATCGAAAGGAGCCAGTTGAGGTGGTTTGGGCATCTGGTCAGGATGCCTCCTGGACGCCTCCCCGGGGAGGTGTTTCGGGCATGTCCTGCCGGCAGAAGGCCCCCGGGTCGACCCAGGACACGTTGGAGAGGTTACATCTCCAATCTGGTCCGGGAACGCCTTGGGGTCCTGCCGGAGGAGCTGGTGGACAAGGCCGGGGAGAGGACGGCCTGGAGCTCCCTAATTGGGATGCTGCCCCCGCGACCCGGACCCGGATAAGGGGAGGAAGATGACGACGACGACGACACAGTCACCAATTCTTGTCATGTGTCTTGCCCATGTATGTCTGATCTCTGAATTGTGTGTACTGAAACTCTAATTTCCCTCTGGGATTAATAAAGTATATTTGAATTTGAATTGAATTCAATGCCCACCCCTGCTCGGCGCCTCTCAGTGGGAGCAACTCCAGAGTGGTAGAAAGTCCAACCCCTTTCAAGGAAACTGGTTCCAGAGCCAGAGCCATGCGTTGAGGTGAGTCCAACTATATCTAGTCGAACCTCTCAACCTCACACACCAACTCAGGCTCCTTCCCCACCAGAGAGGTGACATTCCATGTGCCAAGAGCCAGCTTCTGTAGCTGAGGATCAGACCGCCAAGGCCCCCGCCCTCGACTACCACCCGTCACACACTGCACCCGACCCCTTTGGCCCCTCCCATGAGTGGTGAGTCCATGGGAAGGGGGACCCATGTTTCCTCTTCGGGCTGTGCCCGGCCGGGCTCCATGGGTGAAAGCCCGGCCACCTGGCACTCGCCAACGTGCCCCACCTCCAGACCTGGCTCCAGAGGGGGGCCCCGGTGAACCCACGTCCGGGCGAGGGAACACAGTTTCCATTTATATTATTCATCATAAGGGGTCTCCAGGCTGCTCTTTGTCTGATCCCTCACCTAGGACCTGTTTGCCATGGGTGACCCTACCAGAGGCAGAGAGCCTCAGACAACTTAGCGGATCATTGAGACACTCAAAAACCCTCCACCATGGTGAGGTGGCAGCCCATCAATGCAATACTCAGTATGTGTTTAATACTCATTCAATACCAGATTTACATTGCATGTCTGTGTCTCTTGCAGTATGCTGCATAGTGTTGGAACCCAAGCTTCTTCCTTTTTATTCTTGGTTTTTATTGGTCGAAGCTTACAATTCTAGTCTACTGCCTATATACATGTACCTTTCTTTTATTTATCTTCAAAAGTGTTGGTGCTGCTGTAACAAGTGAATTTCCCCACAGTGGGATGATAAAGTCTATTCTATTCCGTATTCTATTCTATTCTATTCTATTCTATTCTATTCTATTCTATAAATTAATCCGTTATGGAGGACGGTTTCTGTGCCCAGACACGGTTAATTATTCCAATGCGTGCGTAAAGTGGCCGTGTGAGCGCGCACAGGCTTGGGGAACTGCTGCTGTCAGACGCCTTCTCTGGAGCGGGATTGCAGGACACGGATCGTCCTCTGGAACCAACCATCTTGTGTCCAGCGTAGTCTGGTCCCCTCTGGTCTCTTCCACTAATCCGAATTAATCACAGCTGAAGATGAAAAAGTTAAGCAACGAAACGGCTTTTTTTGTTTTTCCGAGGGGGAATATTTAGAGAGGATTGTTTTATTTTGTGTTGCTGCTGCGCTCGGACATGGCTAATCTCTGGACGCAGTGAGATAATTTCTCGCGTCTGCGGCGGTGGAGACCTGCGGAGGAAAGTTGCGCGTGGCAGGACAGTCTAACCGGAGCTGTGACAGAACAAGGAGAGCGCCATGGTGAAGTCTCTCCTTCTCCTGCTCAGCTGGACGGTGATCGCAGAGGTTGCGAGGGCTCAGAACGACACGGAACCAATCGTCCTGGAAGGGAAATGCCTGGTGGTGTGCGACTCCAACCCGGCCATGGACTGGAGGTCCTCGTCCTCTCCGCTCGGCATCTCGGTGCGCGCCGCCAACTCCAAGGTGGCTTTCTCTGCAGTCCGGAGCAACAACCACGAACCATCCGAGATGAGCAACAAAACCAGAATCATCTACTTTGATCAGGTTGGGTCCATTTTATAAAGAAATCAGAAGGGACATTGTTTTATTTCCGCAGATGATATTTTACACATTTTAATTATTTTTTAAACGAGTCATTCTCTTTTATGAGTTCATTTGAACACATCCTACATTTTAGTTCCACCCAGAGATTAGACAGAACACGGACCCAGTTCTGTTCAGATTCTGGTCCAAAACGATCCTGTTCGAGGGCGGGTGCCCTGCAGTGCCCGCACAAGCGCTCAACACTTTTGCCTCCAGCTGCTGACACACGCACGCGCACACCCTCGAACGCGCTCCAAACGCACAGTTCAAACAGCAGCCCGAACCTGCAGGAGCCCGATTAGTCACACAGCCAGGTGTTCCGATCCTCTCGGAGCATTTTTCTCATCAGTGAAACCGATCAGATTTTATTCTGAGTCCTGACCTGGTCTCAGAACACCGCGGCTCTGCTCTGCTGCGGCTGGAGTGGGCTAAAACAACCTTAAGATGCGGACTGACATGTTCCGGTAAACCAAAATATTTGTTAAGCAGGTTTGTCAAAAGAGTAAAAATGTCTGAAAAACGTTAATTTGCCTTTTTAAAGTCCACTTTTCTTCTTCCATAGAACCATTAGATCCCCGTTTTAACTCCACTGAGAATAAAAGTTGAACTAAATGATTTTTGAAGTGTGTCACATTGAGTTTGTGTCTGATCCAGATGGGAGGCTGCGTGTAGTCGACTGCTCATGTCTGATTTCAATTTTTAATATTTAATCTCCAATCCCTTTGAAATTAGTGTCTTTATTGAAGCTCCAAAGCAACATTTCTGACTGAGTGTGCGCCGTTCTCTCCCGCAGGTGCTGGTGAACGTAGGGAACTACTTCACATTCGAGTCTGTATTCTTGTCACCAAGAAAGGGAGTCTACAGTTTCAACTTCCATGTGATCAAAGTGTACCAGAGTCAAACCATACAGGTAAGACTGCTCATTCAGTCAAATGTTTGTTTCTAATAAACTGATGAAAATGTTGAATTATTGAAGGTTATGGTGAACTACATTCAGAAGAAATCTGATGTTACTTCATTAATTTTATAATAATTAAAGCTAAGCAAACTGTGAAATGGGTGTTTGCAAGATATTTCAGGACCTTAGAAAGTTCTAAATGATAAATGACCCAGAGTTGTATGGCACCTTTCCAAATCAGAGGACTCCAAAGGACTTTACACTACAGTCTACCATTCATCCACTCACAAACACATTCATACTGATGAGTTACGATGTGGCCTCAGCTGCCCTGGGGCGCACTGACAGAGGTGAGGCTGCCGAACACAGACACCACTGGTCCCTCCGACCACCACCAGCAGGCAAGGTGGGTTAAGGCCTAGTCCACACGTAGCCGTTTTTTTAAACGAATATCCGCCCCTCCAAAAACTTGCATCCACACAACATTGTTTAAAAAACAAACTCTGTCCACACGTACCCGGATAAATACGTTGTTAAGGACATGCCAGACCTGTAGGCGGCAGTACTTCCCCCGTTCTTAACCTCGTCCTTCGTCTGTGGTCTTCCGCAAGGAGCAGTCATTCCGCTTGCAAAAACAAACAAGCAGAAAGCGCTTGGACAATTGATAAAGCGAGCGTAGCTCTGAGGGCATCCATGCTGTCGGCTAGTGTAAACACAGGTCGCACACGTGATGTCAGCATTTTTTGTCGCGGAAAGTGACGTTGCGGACCTTAAAACTCCGGTTTTGTCTGTCCACACGCAGACACCCAAAACGGAGAAAACGCAGATCTTCACTTTGGCCGGAGTTTTTAAAAAGATCCGTTTTCGTGTGAAAAAACTCAATTTTCGTGTGGATGACAGGCCAAAACGTAGAAGAATATCTACGTTTTGGCGGATCCCCGGCTACGTGTGGACAGGGCCTAAGTGTCTTGCCCAAGGACACAATGGCATCATTCTCTGTAGGGAGCTGGAATTGATCCTACAACCTTCCAGTCACTGGACAACCCGCTCTACCTCCTGGGCTACTACTGTCCCCAAATGTAATGATGATTCTGCACAATTGTGAGAAGTAAGCTGTGACTGTGCAGAAGCCGTGGATGACATCAACCGCCAGCTCCGTCTTGTAAAACCCAACTTTCCACAGTCAGGTCTGCCTGATTTCTGAACCCAAAATGGGCGGGACTTTCTCACCTGTTTTGCCCAAATCCTGCTGTTGTCTACGGGAACGTTGTTACAGTTATTTTTTTCTGTCTACATCTGATGATGTTCAACTACCAAAAGTACGAATTGAACCAGTTGCATGTGTTGCTGCGAGCTGTGGAGTGTACGACTTCTAAATCATTTTATATTTTACATTCAAAGTTCTTGGAAAGCAATAAAGGGATTTGATTCATGCATATTTTTCTCCTGTGGGCTAGAGGCACTTATTTTGATCCCTAGATAATACGGCCTTACATGTCTACTTTAGCATCTAACTAACTGTGCATCAGGCAGGTAACGTCTTCAGAGAAACACATCCTTTCTGGATGCCAAACACCTCAGGCTCTTTGTTTAAATTAGCAGATAATGATGAGATGATTAAGAGGTTGAATGAATTGTAAAAGCTGAGTAGAACAGATGAAAATTCAGATGGCATGACTCATCGTAGAGGAATAATTATAGGCTCGTGGACTGATTGTCTGATGAAGCAACTGAGGACTGACAAGGAGGAGGCAATGCTTTAAGAGGGCCGGTATGCACCGGTACACCATACCAGCACTTCATGTGTTGAAATTATACCTCTGAGCGCGTAAGTACCACGTCTGCTCAGAGCCCTGCACCTGCCCGTGACATCACACATGGCTGGTTGGACTTTGGCGTGTTGAGGTAGAAGATTTTTTGTTGATCCAGGCAGATTGGTGGTGTTCAGAGGAACTGGTGGCTCCTGTGTACGGCTGCTTCATCTCTGTCAGGGTGGTTCAGGGCAGCTGTGGCTTCAATGTACCTCATCTGCATGAGTGTGTGAATGAAGAAATGAATGCCAGACTGTAGAGGGAAGCACTTTCGAGTCCTCTAAGTTACTGTAAAACTGCAGCCAGATCTGCTAGTGGTTGTAGTTTTGCAGACTGTAGTTCTTTTTCATAGGAAACATGGAGGACTTTTACAAAGAAAAGGGTTAGTCCTAATCCACAAAAATAAACAATAATGAACAAGAATCTGCTTCTAGACCTACAGAAAGAGAAAGAAGAGAGAAAAAAAATGGGACACACAACAATAAAACAGGAGCAAGCTATCACTGCATCAACCTGATGAAAAAATATATAATCAACATTGTTTAACTGAACAATCACATGATAATAAATCACAGTGCATTTAGTGCCAACCACAGCCTTAAGACATGTGTTGAACGTGCCCAAGTCCATACTTATGAGAGCACCATGTGAGCACCTGTGTGTGTACACGCGCTTGTTTATGTAAGGTTTCTCTATAGGAGCGTCCAATAGAGAGTGTGAGGGGCCACAGATCTGCCCCCTAAAGATGTGCAGGAGACGGCGGGAGCTCCAAGTCCCAGAGATCCAGGAGCTTCCCCAGAGCACAGGAACTCCAGGGAGACTGCAACCAGAAAGGCCCCCGCACCCCTCGAGAGGCGCAGAGGATCGCCCCGGGGGGGCCACAACCAGCAGCCGGCAGAGTCCCGGGAGATATCGGCGGCAAGCCTGAGCCTCCCACCCCCTAGCCGGCTGAGCTGACTGATAGATCAACCTCCCATTTTTCAATAGGGATTGCTATTCTATCGTCTATTTTGGACAGTGTCTTATATACTTTAGACAGTAGTTTGGGGGGGTTGAGATTATCGAAGTCAAATACCCTTGGTGATGTTTGTAATTCTATTTAATTGAGCTTACATTTTTGTTTGACTACAGATTTAATTAGGTGGTATTCTAAAAAGCTATTCTTATCTATTCCAAATTGGGAGACTATTCTATTAAATGGGATTAAGTCCAATCCTTCATCTTTAGATACTCCCACCATGCTGTCAGAGAGGTGCTGATACTAATACTTTTGAAGCCTTCATGTTTTCTTATGCTTGAGCTAATAAATGGTAAGTCTGAAAGCTCTATCGTATTGCAAAGTGTCTGTTCTATATCTAACCAGGACTCATCTAGTGAGTTATCTTGCAACCATCTTGGTACATATTGCAGCCTGTTGGCTAAGAAATAATAATAAATGTTGGGTAGATCCAGTCCTCCTCTGTCTTTGGTCTTCTGAAGTGTTTTAAGCTAATTCGTGGAGGTTCATCCTACCAAAGGAATTTGGTAATTGAGGAGTCCAGAGATCTAAACCAGTCAGCTGGTGGTTTGTTTGGGATCATCGAGAATAAGTAATTTATTCTGGGTAAGACCATCATTTTAATTGTAGCAACTCTCCCCATGAGTGATATCGGTAAGGATTTCCATCTTGCAAGATCATCTTCCACTTTCTTTAAAAGTGGGATGTAGTGTCACAAACAGAACTCAGAAGACCCGTAATGATGCCAAACACAGTAAAGTTCCTTAAAAGTCTTTATTAGATAAGGCGTTACCGAAGAGGGCGAGGCAGGAGACAGAGTCAGAGAGGAGAGGAGGCGAGGGTCAGGGCGGGAGGAGGGGGACCAGCAAGGAGGGCCAGAGGAGTCTGGGGAGTCGGTGACAGGGAACCAGGAGCCGGGACTGCGGGAGTCTGGGGTGCCGGCGTTTTCATTGGCCAGCTGCAGACAGGAATCGTAGGTTGTCAAGTACTTGTAGGCTGTCGGAGGCTGATTTGGGTCATGGGATGGCTCAAAAAGCTCCAGACGAGAAATCTGTCTAAGACAGCCGCAAATCTCACAGTGTGATGGGCTTTAAGGGACAGAACAAAAGCCTTGAGCATAGGTTTACAAACTTTAGTCACCTCTATGCCTTTACAATTGAAAACTACCAATTTGAATACCAAAACAAACATATGGTATTACAGGTCCTGTTCAGACCACTTGGATCGGATCTGACTGACCACGCTGTATGCTAACGACCACAGAGAGAATTCTGTTAAAAGACCTTCTCCTGCAGGCGTCGTTGAGATTTTTTACAGATATTTTTTATTATACATCAGCAGGAGGTTTATGGGGCTCATGGGTGAGGGACAGGAAGGTTGTTGCATAAGTTGTTGTGAGGTTTAGTCTAAGACAAATATGTTACCTCTCACTGCTTTGATGCTGACTGTTACATTTTGTTTTGACTTTCCAGGTGAACCTGATGCTTAATGGAAAGCCAGTCATCTCCGCCTTTGCAGGAGACAAGGATGTAACTCGAGAGGCGGCCACCAATGGAGTTCTGCTTTTTCTGGAGAAAGAGGACAAAGTTTACCTTAAGCTGGAAAAGGGAAACCTAGTTGGTGGATGGCAATACTCGACGTTCTCCGGCTTTCTTGTTTTCCCACTGTAAAAAAAGAAAAGTGAAAACAACACAAAGACAATTGTAAGATTTCTTCATGTGTCGTCAGTATAATCAAAAACATTGCTGCTTCATCTGTTGGATTCTGCCCAACCATTGAAAAATGTTAATGGAAAAACATCGCCATGGAGATTTGTCAGATCCTCTGGAGGCATCTTTAAACGTTCCTGTCCACAGATATAGCCTCAAAGATGAACACTGACGCAACAAACCTACCCTTCTAACTTTGACCTGCTGAAATATGGATACAATTTTTTCATTTCTCATGGCAACTGTCTTTTTCAGCTATGTTTGATTGCTTGGTTGTAAACTGTGTGTGCTTCTGTTAGCTGTGCTGTCGCTTTGAACAAGTCTACACAACCAGACAGTGTTGTTGCTTAGTTATTGTCAACACAGTCATGGTTGCCTAACAATTTTAATTTCTCCAAAGCAGAACTCTTCATTTATTGACAAATTACGATCAAATGTGAAGTTTTGTGATCAGACGTGCCATTAGATTTTTTATAGACCCTATAACTACTTGGGGCGAAACACTACGGAAGAGTCGCACATCAGGAAATGTGGTTTCAACTATGTTGTCTGTGGCCACGTACAGAAAGTAAAATATCACGACATAGACTGAGTTTTGCATCTTGAAGGCAGAAGTCCTTCCTAGCCAAAGACAAGGACACAAGGCTGCTATGTACGAGGCTTGGGTCATAGTAAACAAACCAGAGAACTACGTACCTGCATGGCAGGGTGAGTATAGCATAGGTTTCTTTTTTTAGCGTGCTCAGAGTACAATCGTGTTAATTTTAGAGAAATACAGTTTATACTAATATGCAGTGGGAAAATACAGATGAATTAGAATGAAATGTTTATTTGAAGCATGAAATAAAGTGTATAAGTTGGTTTAATTCTGTCGTTTTGATGTTCCAGACTTGGGTCATGTTGAGCTTTGTGTTAGGATGGGAAAAACAGAAAACACCTCGCCTGTAAATAAATAGACTGCTTAAAAGCAAACCAGCAAACGCAACTTACTGTATTTAATAGAACACACGTTAACCAGCTTTCTGGTGTAATCTTAGTACATAGTTACCTTACCTGATATAAAATGGGCGCTACAAACTCGAGCATTTCGGATCGTGTTTTCAGTCCAGTTTTCATCAACCCTTTTGATGGCCTGCAGCCACAGACGCCTCCGATTTTGTTGAAATGGATGTGCTCCCTTCGGAATTCTGTAAAGTTTCAGTCCACTGCTTGAAGAGAAGCGAATCTGGCATCCTGGCATTTTACATGATTATATTTTATTACTTGCTTTGCATGTTCTATATGATTATATTTTAGCACAGTTTTATTATTAAATTATTATTTTACTGTCTATATCATTTTATTTATTACTTATTTTCTCATTTTTGTCATTTATATTAGCTCTTTTATTACATTTTTACTCATTTTAATCCAGTGTTTCCTCTGTGGGGGCCCTCTGCCCCGGGAGCGGTGGTCGACTGTAGCTTCCTGAGCGCTCTATAGGTGGGGGTCTATGCACCCCCTCCACTGAGCGCCCTGACTTAGTGTGGAAGACCTGATGCTGCCGGGACAGACGGCTCCTCTGATGGCGTTTCCTTGTGTTACCATACTTGGCTCATCTGGACTCAGCCTAATATAATTTTTACTTGTATGTGTGTGTGAGTCTGTCTGTGTGTGCGTGTGCGTGTGCTTGCATATGTTTGTAAATGTTTTTAACCTGTTATGGGAATCTGGGGTCATTTTGTAAAGCACTTTGAATCACACTTTGTTTGAAAAGCGCTTTAGAAATAAAATTTGATTGATTGATTGATCCATACACGCAACAACCCGACATTTTTATGTACTCAGAACTTCAAAACAAAGGGTTTAAAACGCTGTTTCAGTATCGAGTGTGAATGAGGAAGCCTTCACTCTCGTTGCCAGGCTGCGCGCGCAACTTTTGATGACGTAGGTAGTAAAAGGGTCTTTATGAACAAATGGTGGCGATAATGAAGCAGATGGAGTTAACCCTCCCACTATCTTTATGGATGACCCCACGAGGAAAGTTGACCATTGAGCACCATTGAGGGTGGTGCTCACTCCTCACCCCTGCCACGTGGACCCAAGGGATAAACCATCAACCCTGCTCAGTGGTCAACTTTCCTCGCAGGGTCACACCCATTAGGATAGTGGGAGGGTTAAAAGAGGATGTGAACAATGGCTGAAGGAATGGACAACAAGGCTGCAGCACAGCTGATTTGGTACCTACTGTCCCGTTTTACGGTGTTATTATCAGAAGACCGCTTCCACGGTCTCGTCACCTCCGGAACGCAAGCACACAGCCGGTTTGGTCCGGCTGACCTGTTTACAAGCAGAATGTAATCGCATTGCTACTGCGTTATCTGGGTTCTTCAGCTCGATTCGAACCAGTTCGCCTTCAGCCAGACTAACACGTTTACATGCATTTAAAACAACCAACGTGAGTCTTTTTAGGGCAATACTTTGGTTTTCTGATGCAGATGTAGTAAATGCACAGATTGTTCAGCACTCTGAACACTTTCAATATTATTTTATAATACAGTGATAATTATGACAGCCCTGATCCATTTCATGGAGTAATTATACTACAAACTATTTGAAACATTTATTCTTTCAAAGTTTAACGTTGATGAAGAAGCTTTTGTGCAATATGTAGACATTCTGAAACATTTACAGTTCAGCTGTTCTCCCCTCAATCCTCCTGACAAACCTGTTTGGAGCTGTTACAGGACCTTTTGAAAAGAGACCATTTTTAATGCTTTGTAATTTTCTCTGAAAGATGATTAAGCCATCGAAAAAGGTTCAGTTTGTTTTCCTCAGAATTCTGAGATCATAGTCTGAAATAGTTCTTCTGTAACTATCTATTTTAAGAGATTTTGAAAAAAATACACATTTTTTTTCTCAGTAAGTAAATAAATATATTTACATTTAGCAAAAAGAGTTGGGGAATATTTTTTTGATATGGAACGCTGATATTTGTGGAAAATAAAATAAAAAAACTACATTTATTTCTTTAAATGAAAAAAAAAACAAACAAACTGAAAAGCTGCTTCAACCTGCATTTCCTTAAAAATTAGACATGAGTAACATTTTTGATTATTTCTGGCTGAAGTTAAAGATACGTGTCGCAGACGCCTGGGTCGCACACCTGTGCACAAAGTCAATATGCCATCTTAAAGCCAACATTATTGAATGATGATGGTGATGATGATGATGATGACGATGATGAAATTTGGAATTTGAGGAGAATAAAAAGAGATAACCAAATGTAATTTGTTTGAGAGGATTCTATGTCTACGAGTATCATTTTTGTTATTTTAAATCACGCACAAAGCCAGATGTGGCTTTAAATTCATTTCAGCACACAAGTTAACTGTTTAGCTTGTTAACTGTATTTCAGTTTAGCTTGTTAACTGTATTGCACCCGTTCTCAAACTAAAGTTTTGTAAAACATTTTGAAAGAGGCTCGACTGTCGAACTTTTCTGACTTAACGATGAAATGTCTTCTAAAAAATGTAGTGATCATCTAAATTCATTCAAACTAGGCTATGCATAAAACTAAACCTTCGAAATAGTTTGTTGATGAGAAAAAAAGTACATAAAAGAATACTCAATATATTCATGAAAGTAATCTGAGTGAAAGGTAAAGGTAGTTAATTAAAACACATCTAAACACACAGAGCACAAAGGTTTTCACTGGTGGTGATACACAGAATCCTTAACTCTGTACCCTGATGGCGCTGTTTGAGTAACGTTACACCCATAACTTAGTCAAAGTGGCAAATAAAGGAGAAATAACATGAATGGCAGCCACCCATGATCAGAAGCCATCATGTTCCTTATGGCTCAGTGGTATTCAAATCTGATCCTGGAGCGCCGGTATGCGGCATGTCTTAGGCCTAGTCCACACGTAGCCGGGTTTTTTAAAAACGAATATCCGCCCCTCCAAAAACTTGCATCCACACCACCGCGTTTTAAAAACAAACTCTGTCCACACGTACCCGGATAAATACGTTGTTAAGGACATGCCAGACCTGTAGGCGGCAGTACTTCCCCCGTTCTTAACCTCGTCCTTCGTCTGTGGTCTTCCGCAAGGAGCAGTAATTCCGCTTGCAAAAACAAACAAGCAAAAAGCGCTTGGACAATTGATAAAGCGAGCGCAGCTCTGAGGGCATCCATGCTGTCGGCTAGTGTAAACACAGGTCGCACACGTGATGTCAGCATTTTTTTGTTGCGGAAAGTGACGTTGCGGACCTTAAAACTCCGGTTTTGTCCGTCCACACGCAGACACCCAAAACGGAGAAAACGCAGATCTTCACTTTGGCCGGAGTTTTTAAAAAGATCCGTTTTCGTGTGAAAAAACTCCGTTTTCGTGTGGCTGACAGGCCAAAACGTAGAAGAATATCTACGTTTTGGCAGATCCCCGGCTACGTGTGGACAGGGCCTTAGTTTTAACTCTGTTGCAACACACCTGATTTTAATCAGCAGGTAATTAACAGGCTTCTGCAGATGATGAGCTGCTGCACAGGTGATTCAACCGCTGAATCAAGTGTGTTGGAGCAGAGAAACCACTAAAATGTGCCGGATACCAGACCGCCAGTCCCGGAATTAAATACCACTTCTACGGCTCATAGTATTAAGCCAGTAAAGGTGTCATAGAATTAGTTCATTTTATTTTTTTACAACTACTTTGTGAGTTTCTACATAGCATCAAACGCTGTTGTGGCAAGGATCTAAAGCTGTGGCTCTATCTGGCATCCATTCAAAATCTGGATCTTCCCCGTAAACCCTGGAGTGTGAGGTATTAATTATTCTTTGTTTTTTCCTCCTGTCAAACATAGTCTTTAGCGGACAGCTCGGGCTAGCGTTAGCAGTAGCTCAGGCTAGCATTGCTCTGCAGCTAGGATTAGTGCAGCATGTATATATTTTGCAGACGTTGAAGTGGGACGTGCAGATTTAGGATGTTTCGAAGCTGGGATGTTATACCAGCTTTCCTCAGAACGACCCATTTCTTTGCGGCCTTTACAAAATTGTTACTTCTCTTCTGACTTTGAAAAGCAGGTTGGAAACCCCAAGCTGCCTCTATTCAACATGGTTTTGAATTCTAGGACCACTTTAAGTGAGCTGAAAATGGAGGTTCTGTACACAAATGTCAGCCAGTACTTGTATGGAGATGTCTTGTTGAACAGTGTTGAACAGCAACTTTGAACAGGCTGCTTGCATGTGAACATCATCTGGAGAACAAAACAAAAAGACCTGTTTGCTAAAACTATTTAAAAACAGTTTAAGGAAAGTTTAAACCTCCAGTTAAACGGTCATCTGAACAAGCTTGATGATTTTCATCTTTGATTTGTATTTTTGATTTACCGAAGCTCATAAATATTCATCATCACTTAGCAGCAAACGTTCTGATTAATGTGTTAACAAGACAGATCTGCTTTTTTTGTGGGAGTAAAAAAAAATCATAATAATGAATATTTTACACATTTATTTTACACACTCCATCCAGGCCGCCCTCCAAATGGATCTGGCGCCCGCTGAAACTCCACCTAACTGCCTCTACGTTTCTGCAGCCTGTCGCCAGGAGGTCGTGGCTTGGGGACACTCTTCACAGAGGCCTAAGAGGCACAGGAAGGGACTGGAAACCTGCCGGAAGGTGCCGGAAGAGGAGGTTCCCGCTGCCCAGACCCTGTTGCACCACTGCTACCTTGCTTGGAACTGGGCCTGTGCAGGGATTTCTTGGGCAAACGCTAAATACGCCGGACAACACTGACGCCACCACCACCTGGGTCCTTCCTTTCAGATAAAGGAAGGACCCAGTGATTCTGTCAGTTCCCCGAACGTCTGTCAGCATCAGCGTCTTATTCTAACTCCAATCAGGCTTCAGTGGCTGCAGCTTCAGCTGGTATCTATCTCCAGCGATCAATGGACAATCAGGCGGGGTACACCCTGGACAGAGAGCCAGTCCATCGCAGGGCAACACAGAGGCACACAGGACAAACAAACACACACACACACACACACACACACACACACACACACACACACACACACACACACACACACACACACACACACACACACACACACACACACACACACACACACACAACTAAGGACAATTTAGACCAGGGGCGTATTAAGGACTGAAGAAGATCTGGGGCTTAACACACACGTGACACGCACTGGTCAACATCATATATATTTGTTTTGTACCACATAATTTTTAATCTGAAGCTACATATTAAGCATTTTCAGGGCAGAGTATTGTTCCTGTTAGTGTTTAGTGTGAGATGATAGTAAATACTCCCGTTCTTTCTCCAACAACTTTACCTGATAGTAAGCTAACTTTAGGCAAACCAGCAGCACAACAAATATTTTCTAATAAGACTCACAAACCTGAGTCAACACCATTCTCATCAAAGCTGGGGTTCTGTCGTTGTACTTTTGGTCTAAAAAACGTCCTTATGTCCATCTTCACTCATGCGTTTCAGGCAGAGAGTGCAGAAGAAGCCGGCTGCTGAAGGGCTTCTTCTTCAGCGGCTCAGGCAGGCTGTATACAAACTACTGCCAGCTGCGCCCTCTCTGTTGGACTTTGGTACTGCGTGTTACTTCCACGTTTGAGATCCGGGGCTTTTCATTAAAGATTCGGGGGCTTGAGCCCAAGTAGCCGGGCCTAACGCCACCCCTGATTTAGACAGACCAATTAACCTAACAGTCATGTTTTTGGACTGTGGGGGGAAGCCGGAGTACCTGGAGAGAACCCACGCTTGCACAGGAAGAACACGCAAACTCC